CTCATTTCTGCCATTCTAGAGAGTGGAGTGCTGGAAATTAAGGATCGCAGTCCCACATGAGGCCTTCTTGCTGAAGCAATTAATTATGAATCCACTTACAAGCACCAGATATCCCCTGAGCTGTAATGCAAAACAAGACTTTACTGCCACTCTGCAGTTTCCCAAGAATTCGCATGTAACCCACTCTGCAAAATCTCTTACAATCAGAGCCTAAATGTGCAACAGACCCCCTAGATGTGCACAGAAACACGGTGGCATAAAAAGCTACAAGGAATAAATCCTTACCTTTTGCAGCTCAGCATGAATCAAAGGTTGTGCAGCTTGGCACAGGAGAACATCCACTCCCCCTGACTCCCTCCACATCATTGTTTTCTTGGTTGGGGGCGCAAGGTCCAGCGTAGTGAGAGTGCCCACACAGTTGTTAAGCTGGTTGTATATAGTCTGGCAGCTGAGCTCCTTGTCTGCATCCACAAGCAATTTCCTTTTTCTCTTATTTTTTTTCCTCGGAGTGATCACTAAGTAGAGGAAGTATTTTAAAAATGGTATTGACCTTCTTCACTGACAGCTATCTCTCTATAATGTAATTCAGCACCAGAGGAACTAAATAGTGGGAAAAATAATCTCTAAGAAATGTATTTAATTATTCCTTTCCCTCATATATTTACTATTTGTCATTACAATATCAAAAACGCAACATGAGATGTTCATGCCTCCTAGTTCCGATCTGGACAGGGCTTTTTTCAACAGCTATTGCATTATGAATATACACAAATGAGGCCCAGGGCACCCACAGCTTAAGCATGAATAAAGCATTGTGAAACGAGTGGACAGAGTGCTGACCTCTTAAAATACAGCACAGACTTGAGAATTAAACTGCAATGCATAGACCATTCCAACAAAAATTTTTGTAATGTCTACTCTTCCACATATTTCTAATTAAGGAAGATGTATGAGTATTTTACTGAAGCAGCAGCAATGTGGTGATTTAACAAGAACACATGATATGTCAGCAGGTTTGTGTACACTGTTTTTAATCCATCAGTAAGTTCATTGTTCTAACAATTATCAGCATACTCAACAACCTTCATTATCTCATGATTCATATCTGTATTTGCCATTTTAATCCGTCGGTGATCACGTAGTAAACCAAAGAACCAGTAGTTATATATCCATAACTACTTGAATATTATTTTGACAGTTCAGAAATGCTGATGTATCACTAGCAATGAAGGTTCTTCAGTTAGAAGTTCAGTAACACCCATGTGTACGCTGGGTTTGCACTGATACAGGACTGTAGAGGAGCAAAACTTATCTTAGTGTTTGTAAGAGTAAGATTTGTGCAGATGAGAGGAATAGCCTGGTATTGCTTTTGTGTAATTATTATCAGCAAAGAGAACTCTGACAGAAGCAGCAGATTAATGTAAAATGAGAATATTCTGTGAAGCAAACATCTTCAGTAATAGAAAGTATGTAAAGTAAATCTCATACTGCACACTGTTAGCAAGAAACTGGTCTGGTTCTGACCTGTATCATCAATGGGCTCAAGCACAAATCCTTCTTCTTTAGACATAAGTGCTGTTTCATTCATTAGATGATTTTCTTGAATCATGGTATCTGCACCATTGGAATCTGCCATAAGAAAACCTAGCAAATAACCCAAATTAAATGTATATATATAACATGAAAGAATTTCTCTACCTTACAATATACAAGATTGGCATGTTAACAACTTATTTTATCAATACCAATTGAAAGTATGACCAGACCACCTTTATGAACTAACAAAATGACATTTGTAGCTGAAAAGTGGAGTCAGAAATAGTGCTAGATAAAGTTCAAAATAACAACAAACTCACCGGCTGTGCTGTTCCCTGGAAGATCTTGTGACAAAGGAAGTTCTTCCTCCATATCAAGAATGTCCTTGATTTGGCTATTTTTCTCATCCCTTAATAGAATTTCTCAAAAATAAAATGTGTATTTTTATTCATTCCAAGTTAGAGTCATGAAATAACCTGATACAGCCTTATATTACTACTTAAATATAACTTTTGTGCAAAAAAAAAAACTTCATACAGTTTATAAAAGTTTATACTGCTGTGCGGCAATATTACAACTATCTTAATATGAAAAGAGGAGCATTAGTCTTAATTCAGTTTTCTATCTTTTCCTTGAAAAGTGTAATCATTGATACGCTTTCAAAGATAAAAGTCTACAAAGGTTTATGTAAATATTCTAAACCATAAAAATGTACACTCAGTGGCCTTTGTTATTCTAGTAGGAATAAAACTGCTGTAGTATATCACCCTTGAAAATATAAATTAAGTATTAAATATAAATTGAATGCATTTTATTCTGTACAACTGAAATTGGTCCTTTAATTCTGTTTCAGCTGAGAATGCCTAAATGAACAGAGATTTAGTGAAAAATAGTGAAAAACTTCAAAAAAAAGAGAAAACTTGGGTTTGAAAACAGTCAATTTCATGTCTGTTTGTTTTCCTGTAAAAATACAAATATTTGGAAAGATTTATTTCTGTTGATTTGTGCTAAGCCCTACCAATCATATCTCCAGCAGTCTCCTCATCTCCAAAGCAGTCGTGCTCGAAGCAGTAAGTGTCTTCACACAGCGCAGACTTGTCTCCGTTCAGACTTGCCAAGGTGTGGTCAGCTAAGACACTATTGCTGCTCATTAATATGCTGCCATCAAAGAAACTTTGTTTTCTTAGTGTTTCTGGTTCCTCACCTGGATAAATACAGAATTTCTGATGATTCATCTATATGAATGCATGTGAAATATTTATTTATCCATTTCCTATCTCATAAAAAAAATAGGAATTGTTGTAAGATCTTGCACATAGCAAATACTACAATGGACAATTTCAACTAATTCAGTTAAAAAAACAGCAAATGATGAGTTTGATTCTTATTCTCTCATATCCCATTACATTGCTTCGGCAGAGTACTGGACACAAAAATATACATATGAGACTATATGATAGGCCAATCAACACAAACATGAAACAAATTCATTTTTAATAACATCTTTTTCATGCGTGGATATGACCCAGATTGTACAAAAAATTGTATAAAACACACTTCTCCTTATGAAATATTTCTAATTTCTCAACTTCTCTCACCAAAGTTTCTATCACAGAGAAGTATATTGCTTTCATAATCCTCTGTAAGTGTGATGTCTTCAGCTCTCCTCTGATTCAAGGTAAAATGTTCAGCAACATCAATGGCACTAATAAAAAAAAATCACAAAATATAACATGAACTGAAACTTATTGGCCATTTAGCTGGAATGTGAAAACCTTGTTTCCAGAAAGTTTTCAAACCTGATGTTTTATTGCCAAAAAAAACAAAAAGACAACTACAATTTTATATGGCATTGAAAGTACCCCAGCTGATCCTAACTTCTGTGGAGAAAGCACTGCCTCTCAAAGCTATTAGAATTCAAATCATTTCAGATTTTATTGATAAAATTTACTGCTTTGAATTTCCTCTATCTTGTACTTTCAAAAATGCCAAAATAAACAACAAAATATAGGGAAGCATTTACTTTAGTTCAGGGAGTGGTGCTGCAAAATCATGAAATTCTTCAGGTAATGTAATGGACTGATACGCAGCCTCGAAGTCCTCTGCTGGAAGGTCAACAAGTCCTAAAAGCCACACAAAGCATAACAAAATAAACATCAACAGACTAAGTAATGTTCTCCCAAGTACATATAGTAAAGCTATAACTCTGTCAGGGTCTCTGGAATTATAAATAACAAAAACAAAGCTTAGATACTTAGTCAACAGGACCCCACAATGGAATTAAAAATATTAATTTACCTATATTTTGGAAGACGTATTATTTACAGACAGATACAGAATAGTAAGCTGCTGTTGAAAACTGCTTCTCTGGGATCAACAATGTGTATGCGGGAGAAAAGTCCAAAATTAAATTTAAAGATAAGAGCTATAAAGGACACAGATGGAAAAACCTTTATACATACCTGGACGAAAGGCTGTCTTCATTTTTGTCAAAGCTTCACTACAGTCTGCCAAGAGGTACTTTGCCTTCCTGTGGTAGATTCGTACTACTCCTAAGAGTAAGTGCCCAGAGGTGCGCAGAGCAACTGCAAACTTCAATGATTTTTTTTTATTTGTTTGTGAGTTAGTATTTATATAACAAAAACATTAAAATGAAAATATTATGCAAAGTAGTTACAGAGTTATGGTAAATTACACTGGCATGGAGCTGGAAACTTCCAGTTATTTCTGTTCCTAAACATTACCATATTGAAGCTTAAGTCGTAAGTTGCTGCTTGCTCGTTGTCTAAAACATCTCAACTCACTGCAGCAGTACAGCACATGCTTCAGAGCAAAACAGCTGCACATACTCTAGAATTTTCCACTTAGGGTATTTTAACTACCAGCTACTCATTTAATAATGCAAAATCTTCTGCAGCAAGAAAATGCTAGGTGGTCCTAGATTGTGTTTTGCTAGATTACATTTCAGAAAACGCTTTTAAGTAATAATAACAAGATTACTCTAACAATGCACTTATAACCCAGAAAAGACAGACAATAACATTAAGATCACCAACTCTTGAGCAGGTATTTTCACGTAAAAGAACCTGCTTGTACCACAGAAAACCTTGGGTATTCTAACTCATCAATTAGTGACGGTACAAAATGTTCTTTACTCTTTCAGGGGATACAATCAAAATAGAGGGGTCAAGGACTGACTGAGTCATGGATATTTAACAACCAGCCCCATCTGTGCTTATCTGAGCCACACCTTATTAGTGATATACAGAGGACTTCAGCCCCCAGGACTGCTAATACGCAGCCTTTCATAAGCATTAATATATACTTAATTGTATATTTATCTCCTTACAGGTGGGGACCTGGAAGAATTCCACTGAAAGTGGAAGGATAGTTATGATAGGTTACAAATTAACCCTAAGAATAGCAAAAAACATTCTCCTCAAATGTTCCAGGTACAATTAGAAGGTAATTTTCATAGTCCTTTTGCTTTGGTTAGGTGGCTGACTCTTCAGTCTTTCTGAGACACTTGTTCCCTACAGAATATGGACTTCTGCACCTGAAGCTACCAGAGGGCACCTTCCTCTTTGCTGACCTACCTTTGGTGAGATGATCTTCTCAACAGTGCTCTCTAAATTGCACTCAAACACATGGGCTTTGGTGAGCTTCTTCTCCCAGTGGGCAGCCAGCCATATTTTGGCCAGGGGCCCACGCTTGTTCACGAAGAGGTGCATGTAGAACATGATGGTTACACGGATGCTCACGGATCACCTGCACTGTCACGTCCTTGGGGACTTTGCCCTTCTTCTTCACCGGGACAGAAAACAGCGTGAAGAGGCAGGGGTATTTATGGGCAGTGTTTCTGGGACGAGGAAACGCTGAGGGAAAAGGGAGTGCTTGGGGCTGCGCTGAGGTATTTGGGGTACCTCACGTGGTGCTAAGGTGTTGGGGATACTCGATGAGGTGCTGAGGTGATGGTACTTGGCACCACACTGAGGCAATGGAGGTATCTTTTACTGCGCTAAGGTGATGGGGGTACCTTGTGAGGCGCTGAGGTGATGTGGGTATTTGGCACTACGCTGAGGCAATGAGGGTACTTGGTGCTGCGCTGAGGTGACGGGGGTACCTGGTGAGGCGCTGAGATGATGGTGCTTTGCGCTACCCTGAGGCAATGGAGGTATCTGGTGCTGCACTGAGGTGACTGGGGTACCTGATGAGGTGCTGAGGTGATGGTGTTTGGCACTACACTGAGGCAATGGTGGTGTCTGGCATGGTGCTGAGGTGATGGAGGGACCTGGTGAAGTGCTGAGGTGATGGTATTTGGCACTACACTGAGGCAATGAGGGTACCTGAGGTATTGGAGGTGCCTGGTGCTGTGCTGAGGTGATGGGTGTATCTGGTGAGACAGGGAGGCAATGTGGATACTTGGCACTATACTGAGGCGATGGGGGTACTTGGTGTTGCACGGAGGTATTGGGGATACCTGCTGTGGCACCGAGGCGATGGAACTACCTGGTGAGGTGCTGAGGTGACTGTACTTGGCACTACACTGAGGCAATAGGAGTGTCCGGTGCTGTGCTAAGGTGTTTGGGGTACCTGGTGGAGTGCTGGCACTACACTGAAGCAGTGGGAGTGCTTGGTGCGGCGCTGAGGTGACGGGCGTACTTGATGAGGCACTGAAGACAGGGTGCTTGACACTACACTGAGGCAACAGGGGTACTTGGCACTGTGCTAAGGTGTTGGGGTTACTTGGTGCAGCACTGAGGTGATAGGGGTACTTAGTACTTCACTGAGGCAACGGGTATACTTGGCACATTCCTGAGGGGCTAGCGTGTTGGGGGTACCTGATGAGGCAGTGAGCTGACAGTAGTTGGCACTATGCTGGGGCAGTGGGGGTACTTGCTGCTGTGCTGAGGTGTTGGGGTTACCTGGCAAGATGCTGAGGAGATGGGGCCACCTGGTGAGGCGCTGAGGTGATGGGAGTCCTTGGCACTACACTGAGGCAATGGAGGTATATGGCACTGTGCTGAGGTGATGGGGGTATCTGGTGAGGCGCTGAGGCGATGGGGGTACTTGGCACTACAGTGAGGTAGTGGGGGGTACCTGGTAGTGCGCTGAGAGGGATACCTAATGGTGCGCTGAGATATTGGAGGTACTTGGCACTACACTGAGGTGACAGCGGTACTTGGCACTGCGCTGAGGTGATGGGGCTATCGAGGACAGGGCTGAGGCGATGGGTGTACCTGGCACAGAACTGAGGTGATGGGGGTAGCTGAGGCAGTGTTGAGGCAATGGGAGTACTTAGCGCCGCGCTGAGGTGACGGGGGTATCTGGCGCAGAACTGAGGCGATGAGTATGCCTAGCATTGCACTGAGGTGACAAGGGTACCTGGCACAGAATTGAAGTGATGGGGGTACTTAGCGTCATACTGAGGTGATGGGGCTACCTGGGGCGGTACTGAGGCGATGGGGGTACCTGAGGCAGTGCTCAGGTGATGGAGGTACTTAACACCACACTGAGGTGACGGGAGTACCTGGTGCAGAACTGAGGTGATGGGGGTACCTAGCGCCGCACTGAGGTGACAGGGGTACCTGGGGCAGTGCTGAGTTGATGGGGGTACTTAGCGCCTCACTGAGGTGACGGGGGTACCTGGGGCAGCGCTTAGGCGATGGGGGTACTTAGTGTTACACTGAGGTGATGGGGGTACCTGGGGTAGCGTTCAGGTGTTGGGAGTACCTGGGGCAGCGCTGAGGCGATGGGGGTACTTAGCGCCGCACTGAGGTGACAGGGGTACCTGGGGCAGTGCTGAGGCAATGGGGGTACTTAGTGTCACACTGAGGTGATGGGGGTACCTGGGGCAGTGCTGAGGCAATGGGGGTACTTAGTGTCACACTGAGGTGATGGGGGTACCTGGGGCAGCGCTGAGGCGATGGGGGTACCTCGGGTGGTGTGAGAGGCGGCCTGTACTTACAGCAGTGCTGAGGGAATGGCAGCGGCCCTGACCAGAGGGGGGTACCTACCGCGGCGCTG